GGCACTGGGGATGGCAGCACAGAGGGGACACAGGGATGGACACACACAGGAAACAGGCACGGCAGCACGCAGGGGACACGGGGAACACACGGCACTGGGGATGGCAGCACACAGGGGACACGGGACACAGGGATGGCAGGGCACAGAGCACACGTGGCACTGGGGATGGGAGCACACAGTGGACACAGGGCACACCCAGCGCTGGGGATGGCAGCTCACAGGGGACATGGGACAGGGATGACAGCACACAGGGCACACGGGCGACCACGGGTGAGTCTTTCCCTTCCCACGGTGGGAGGTCAGGGGTTCACAGAGAGCGTCGGCCACTCAGTTTATTGCCACCCTGCTCTAAAAGGTGACACAACGCTGGAATCTTACGAGTTGACACCAACCCCAAGGCACAGAGCATCCCAGCACACACCAGGCACCAAGCAGCCAGGCCCCAGCCGTACCCACGTGCAGGGGACACGTCACACCCCGGGCACCCGCACGTCACGAACAGTGCACTGCACACAGCCGGGAAGTACCAGCGTACCAGAGTCATTGTCACTCGGCTGTTGCATACAGCTCAGGCTGGCTGCGGCTTTTATGGCCTCAAGTTGCATCAGGGGAGGTTTAGATTAGATATTAGGAGAAGTTTCTTTCCTGAAAGAGTGGTCAGGCATTGGACCAGGCTGCCCAGGGCAGTGGTGGAGTCCTCATCCCTGGAGGCGTTCAAAAAAAGTGTAGATGTGGCACTTCAGGACATGGTTTAGCAGGCAGGGTGGTGTTGGGTTGATGGTTGGACTTGATCTTAGATGTTTTCCAACCTCGATGACTTGAGGAGGACGTTGTAGGAGGAGGACGTTCTAAGAGGAGGACGTTCTAAGAGGAGGACGACGTTCTAGGAGGACGACGTTCTAGGAGGACGACGTTCTAGGAGGACGACGTTCTAGGAGGTTCTATGACTCACCTGGTGCTTGCAGCGCACCCTCACAGCCTTTCCCATTTGCTCGGCGCTGACACCGCGCGCCTTGAGCCGGGACCTTGGACTCCGGCACTGCAACGCACCACGTGTAGCTACGGTTGGAAATGCCACCTCCCCTTTGCGCAGGCCACGCTCCGCCAGGCCTCCTAACGAGCCAAGCGATCAGATGAAGTGACCCGCACAGGGTATCAAGAGCTGGAAGGGGAAATGAGGGAGGAAATTCAGCCCCAATCCAACAGTTCCTGAACTCTTCCTGGTGATTCATCTTGGGGTTTTTTTCGTATAGGGACTGACTGGGGCCTCTACCTTGGGACAGGGGAGTGCAAACACCCTTAGCACAGGCTACGCGGACAGGAGGCCGCTTCATTCCAACCCAGAAACGTGAGTCACCCCCATCTTCAAGGCATTCCCTTTTACGAAGGGGAGAAGGGAAATATCCCCAGGTCTCACAACAAATCACTCCGGAGAAGTTGTACTTGGCAGAGAAAAAAATACCACGATCCAATCTGCACTCCCAACCTTGATTTTTATTAGTGAACAGTTTCAGAGGGGATACAGTTTTGCTTCTAGATCTTGTTGAAAGCAGCAATGTCAACGCTCTGCACCTGAAACGGAACAAAAGCAGCAGCTGAAGGTCACCAAGGTGTTTTCAGACATTCACAACGAAGAAAGCACTCGTGTCAGGGATTTCTTCACAGCAAAGCTCAACCAGGTCAAGCACAGCCCAGGTCTCTCAGGCCAGCTCCCCGGTGCAGGAAGAGGATCTTTAGGGACTTATTTAATATTCCTTGCAACACCAGTCACAGCAGGACACTGCACCGTGCTAATTACCGCATGAATCTTGAGACAGTCCAGCTGACGAACATCCTATTAAGAGTTTCTAGGAACGTTAAGATTAAAGTTCCTGATTTACTCTGAATATAAGCAGAAGAGCAGGCAAAGAACATCAATAAAAAGAGGTTATTTGGCCCTGCTGCTCTCCCAGCAGCGAGACTGGGAGCGTTACTGGAGCCTGGGAGCGTTACTGGAGCCTGCATATTACCTGGCACAGGGCTGGAGCTCCTGCTACCATAGGAGTAGGAAGGATGGGGCTGGAGACATCTCCTCCAGCCCCAGCCACCCAGGTTTAAATGTTTGTGCGTTCACCCTGGTGTTGCCCAGCTATGTGTAAAAGCAGGGGTTCCTCAAAGTAACACTTGGTGGGGGATGGATGAGCAGCGAGAGCCTGCAAAATGGCTCTACAAAACATCTGCAAGATACTGCCAGCTTTAATGAAAAAATATATATATATTTGAATATACAAGCGTCTCAGCAGGCAGAGAGCATCCATTCCATGTCGTTTTCTTTTTAAAAAAAAACCCCAAGTTTTCCAAAATCTGCAAATGAACCTTAGTTAAAACTGACCCCGCGGGTCAGGCATCACCCAGCTCGCTGAAAAGACTTACGTAGTCTTCAAACTTGGTGATCTCCTCCTCCAGGATGTCCGTCCCGACTTTGTCATCCTCCACCACGCACTGGATTTGGAGTTTCTTAATGCCGTAGCCTACCGGGACCAGCTTGGAGGCTCCCCACACCAGCCCGTCCATGCAGATGGAGCGGACGCACTCCTCCATCTTCGCCATGTCAGTCTCGTCGTCCCACTGGAAAAGCGGGAAGGGTGAACTTGAGCGTTTTCCTAGAGATCACCGTTAGCCCCAAGAGGTATCCAGCGACTTCAAATTCAACGCTGCTCTTTCTCAGGACGTTTCAGGTGATCCAGGCCACCCTTTCTCGGCTCCTAATTTCACCACAGTTAGCTGATGGGGTTAGCCAAGCTAAATCTGACTTTGCAGCTATGCTGCGTAGCGTGTTGTTTCGATTCTACCTACAGGCACCGCGGATGCCAGGGGGATTCTTCCCGCAGCTTATGACCCTGCTTTGGCAGGGGGTTGGACTAGATGACCCACAGAGGTCCCTTCCAACCGCGAACATTCTGTGATTCCGAGTGCTCGCTTTAAAGTGACTTTTACAAAGGGAGCGCTATCCAGCCCAGGAGTTTTTGTTCTACCATGAGAACTTCACAAAGACAGGTTTAATCCCAGCTTTAGGGTATTTATTATCTGTCTTTTTGTCAAAGAAAAGGGTTAGTCCCAGTCAGGGGAACCTCGGATAACAGCCTGAGCTTGCCGAGGAACCGGGCAGCGGCGCAAAGGCTGCAAGATCCCAGCTGCAAGATCCCACCTCACTCTGACCCCTTTGTCTGGAAACCTGCAGGTCCTATCTTCACCAGTCCACGTGGACGTGGAAGTGAGATGATTTACGGCCTCCTGCAGCAGAAGACACACGTCCTCACCCAGGAGCTCCCCCCGCTTCCGTTACTCACCGGCTTCACATCCAGAAGGATTGAAGACTTGGCAATCAGACCCGGTTTCTTGGCCTTCTTCTCTGCGTACTGACGCAGTCTCTCCTCGCGGACTTTGGCAGCCTCTTGGTCTTCCTCTTCATCGTCACTACCAAAAAGGTCGATGTCATCGTCATCGTCTTCCTCTGCAGCAGCTGGCTCAACTTTCTTTGCCGGTGAAGCGGACGGGAGCTCCACTTTCTTGGAGGGAACACTGAATGGTTCCACTTTCTTCGTTGGGGTGACGTGCATTCAAGTTTACATTAAGGAAAAAGGGGAGATGATTAACCTGAAGCTGAATCATATCAGCACTGAAGATGCTCAAGTCTACACTGCTCAAGACAGAGAACATGGCCCACACTATGTGACTTGTGTGAAGAATCAGCTATCGGCCATCAAAATAGGACATTTGACCAGATGGACCTTTGAACTGCTCCAGCATGGCCGTACTTATAGAGCAAAAACCACCACGTAGCCAAGAGCTGATCCAGCTCCTACAGGCTCAGGGTTTCTGGACCATAAGAGGCTGAGCAGGACAGCAGCTGGGAACGCAACCAAGCGTCTTCCCATAGCATGAGGAGGGGCCTACACATTCTGTAGGCTTAGTCCAGAGGCCACCAGCCAATGGGATCCTGGGGTGCATTCAGAGGACTGTGGCCAGCAGGTCGAAAAGGTTCTCCTCCCCCTCTACTCTGCCCTAGTGAGGCCCCATCTGGAGTCCTGTGTCCAGTTCTGGGCTCCCCAGTTCAAGAAAGATGAGGAGCTACTGGAGAGAGTCCAGCGGAGGGCTACGAGGATGATGGGGGGACTGGAGCATCTCTCCTATGAGGAAAGGCTGAGGGAGCTGGGCTTGTTCAGCCTGGACAAGAGAAGGCTGAGAGAGGACCTTACAAATGCCTCTAAATATCTGCAGGGTGGGTGTCAGGAGGACGGGGCCAGGCTCTTTTCAGTGGTGCCCAGCGACAGGACAAGGGGCAATGGGCACAAACTGAAGCAGAGGAAGTTCCAGCTGAACAGGAGGAAGAACTTCTTCCCTCTGAGGGTGACGGAGCCCTGGCACAGTCTGCCTAGGGAGGTTGTGGAGTCTCCTTCTCTTGGAGATATTCAAGACCCACCTGGACAAGGTCCTGTGCAGCCTGCTCTGGGTGACCCTGCTTTGGCAGGGGGGTTGGACTGGATTATCCCCAGAGGTCACTTCCAACCCTGACCATGCTGTGATTCTGTGTGATTCTGTAATTCTGCTTATCTACTGTAACGCAGTGGCATTTTACCTGGTGCGTGCTAAGAAACTCACAGCACCATGGGCTCAAAGCTAATCAAGTGTCTGTTAACCCCAAACTTCCACGGATCTGCACCAGCTTTCCCTAGCTGATATCTCTAACATAGCTTCTTTGGTGTTCTTAGGGCACAACAGTCCTCTCTACACCTACATTTTGGGAAAGATGACGAGGCAGCTGCCAAAACTCTGGGAAAAGCTGCAAAAAACTCATCCTAACTATGAGCATCCCTCCATCCTCAGACAGCCAGGAGACCTCAGAAATAACCTGGGCACTTTGTGATGGCAAAGCATTCCAGAACAGCACTTTGCCAAGGCTCACCTGGGTTGGAGGAACTGGTGAGGGCTGGTGGGAGGTAGATGACTTTTCCAAAGCATTCAGGCGGCTTTCCAACTTGAAGATGGCCATCTGAAGGTCTGCAACAACTGCGAGAAGGGAGGGGAAAAACAAGAATCATTAAGGTTGGAAAACACCTCTAAGATCATCAAGTCCAAACGTCAACCCAACACCACCAAGCCTGCTAAACCATGTCCTGAAGTGCCACATCTACAGGTTTTTGAACTGCTCCAGGGATGGGGACTCCACCACTTCCCTGGGCAACCTGGTCCAATGCCTGACCACTCTTTCAGTAAAGACGTTTTCCCTAATATCCAATCTAAACCTCCCCTGATGCAACTTGAGGCCATTGCCTCTTGTCCTATCACTGGTTACTTGGGAGAAGAGACCAACCTCCATCTTACTACAACCTCCTGTCAGGTAGTTGTAGAGAGCGAGAAGGTCTCCCCTCAGCCTCCTCTTCTCCAGACTACACAGCCCCAGCTCCCTCAGCAGCTCCTCACCAGAATTGTTATT